AGGTCCTTTCCACCAATAGATGCGACAATCATCGACATCAAATTAAGTATGACAAATTCTTTTATAGGAAAAATGAATAATTATTCAAGTGGCTGCAACTGTCATTTTTTACATAAAATTTCAAATATCTCAATAAGGTATAGGATATTATACATTAAATACAATTAGAATTTAGAGTATAATTCAAAAATGTAATAATATACAAGGTGACCATTTTCTGAATCTTTGTATGGGTAACTTCTACATTTTTAAAGATCCGTTAATTGGGCAGAATTCGATTGCCTATCCATTACCGTTTTTAAAATTTAGGTACCCCACTTGGTTCCTGAAATATCCTGAAAAGAAAAGAAATCAACACTTTTTTAATTATCACTTATTACGTAAACTGCTTAACTTAGAAAAAAAGTTAAAACTGCCCTTAGTACAACTTTTTGCGATGAATCCAATAAACTAGCACACGTTATCATAGTCAACTTGATTTACGAGATAAAAAATAAACTTATTGTTTTTTTAATGGTAATCATAGTTGGCTGTGGGCCTTTTAAAATCTTTATTTTTTTAAAATTAACTATATTTTTTGTCATATCATGTTTGTATGTTTTTCTCCTTTTGTTGCCGTAAAACTTCAAAAAAACATAAAAAATGTGTAGTAGGCTAAGGAAACAGGAACTATATTATCGCACAAAGCACAAAAAATAATGAATCGTTTAAATTAAATGTTCAAATTGACTTCGGTTTACGTCCAGGCATTTTTTGGTATCTTTACATTCAACTCGTGAGTTGTGTGAAGGTGCACTATCATGTTGAAAATATGCCAATTTTCGATATGATGCTAACGGAAAACTATTCAACATGTCTTCAAGTTCATTTGGTAAAAAGTGTAAATATCTTTCCATATTTAAATTGTGTTTATAAAAGAATGGACCAATAATTTTATCACTAATAATGCCTCACCACACATTCACAAAAAAAACACGTTGATCTCGCCTATTTTCAATTAGATGATGATTTTCATTAGCCCAGTAAACATGATTGTGTCTGTTAATTATTTCATTTTTGTTTTGTGCTTTGTGTGATAATATAGTTCTTGTTTCCATAGCCTACTACACATTTTTTATCTTTTGAAGTTTTACGGCAACAAAAGAAGAAAAATATGCAAATAGTTGTTACAAAAAATATACAAACAAAACATTGTTAAGTTCAGAAGACCAAAATTCTACCAGACAATTTAAACTTATTTTCTAATTTAAGTAGTTTACGTTTTATATGATAATTAAAAAAGTGTTGACTTCTTGCCTTTTCAGCATATTTCAGGAACCAAGTCGGGTACCTAAATTTTGAAAACGGTAATGAATAGACAATCGAATTCTGCCCAATTTTGATCATTTAACGGATTCTCTATCTTTAAAAATGTAGAAATTACCCATACAAAGATTCAGAAAATGGCCACCCTGTATAGGGTGTGCGATTTAAAATAAGCAAGTTCATACCTACTTCCGGTATAACCTAAAGTGTGGCCATCATGAAAATATTTTAGACCGCTTACCCCAATGACTTCACCACAATGTCCAATTTTCAAATTTCTCCTAATTACAGTTTGCTAGATACAAATCGCAGCAGTTTCCGGTAGGACACTCTACCCTGTATGCTAGGTATCCAAGGAAACAATTTTCATTAACTTAAAACGTTTTGTGCAGTTTGGCAACACCGCTCGAAATTTATCCTGAAAATGGTGACTTTCCTCAAACTTAAGGGTTTTTTGGCTTGATTTATGGACCATCCAGAAATTTTTTCCACTGAAACTGGTTAATTTAAAGTGTTCTTTAAGACAAAAACAAGAAAAAACGAAAAGTTCGAGAACTCAAACGACACAATCACTTGAGGATTCATAAAACTAAACTTAAATAGCAAATACTGAAGTACATAAAAAAATATTCGATTCCTTATTTAAAAAATCGGAAAGTTGTAAGAGAGTAAAAACGCATTGTATTACTTACTTAATAAGCGTACTTGTTGAGAGCGACAGTCTAAATCAACTTTCATGCAATATCTCGCACTCACTGTCTGCCGTTAAGGTTTGAAGCTCCTTTTGCAGGTCCATTAGCTGTTTCCTCATCCGGATCGCTTTGGTTCGAAGATTTTTGTCGTTCTGAATCAAATCATCCGCTTTTTGGGCGGCAGTTCTTTGGTGCTTCGGATCAATCACCCATCTGGAATTTATACAAATGGATCAAAATTGTTTTGTTTTTCCCAACTCCATACCTGAGATAAAGCTCTCGCCATAGTACTAAGCTAACCGGAGCTATACTAGGCCAAATGGCGGCCTTGTTGGGCTCATACATGGGGTTTAAAAAGTTGGTAATTACGTCCGGCCTGTTCAAGTAGGACCAAAAGCTAGTCGTTGTCTCGGCCAGTCGCATTTCTTGTCTTTCCTGCTCGTTATTTCCGATGAAGGTACCTGCAAATTCCACTTATGACTACAGCCAAACTCGCACAAGATATTCACCGAAATTGCTGAAATATGAATTTTCAAAGATCAAGATCAGCATCTGAGTGGTGAACTCGAAGCTATAGGGAAACTGGTAGTGCAGTTGGTGAATGCAGTCCAAGAACAGCAGAAAGGTGGGCTGTTGGTTCTTGGCCTTGGCGTTTGAATAGCAAAACCGCGCATTTCTTAGCTGAAATGGGTGACCAGCCTGTAACCACTCTCTTTCTATTAATGCTTGCAGCCCTGAAAATCAACCCTTAGAACATTGAATAATCAGCGCTCTTAGACCGCACCTCTAACCGTTCTACAGTCCGGGTTAAGGACGACTTGAGTAACAGAAGTGACCAGCAAAGTGGCATCCAGTCCCGATGAGCCATGGACTAACACATTGGACTCGTCCTTATCCAAACATTGAGCCACTAGACATGCAGCACTTAGAACACTTTGGATGTGAGTTAGCCAGTGGCAATTTTCCAGACGCTGCAGCCATTTATCTGTTGATATGGATGTGTCGTGGCAAGCTGAAAATTCGGCCTTAGCGAGCGGTTTTTAGCCAAATTTATGTAACCTCACCCTCGATGAGCTTGCTGAAATGGTCCTGAACGCTGCCATCGCACTTGACTAGTTTGTCTAGGTTTTTATGTATCTTCTGCCATTGAGCATAGTGCATATCTGGTTCAGTACCTCCACCCTTTCCTTTACAGTGCCCCGCTAGTCCAGTGCTTCTAGTGTCAAAGATAAACCCTTTTTTATCTTTTACCGCCACCGCGTCCAAGATCTTCTCATCTGGTCTTGAGCGCTTACCACTGTTCCCAACTAACGGCTGACTGCTCCGCAATAAAACGGTACCTAAAAGTAAATCACTCAAATCAAGCAAAAACTAGAATAGCTGTTATTATTTATTCACCTACCATTATCATGCCGGTAGCTCAACAGGGGAATCCGCCCTCCTTCCCGATAACTCGCAGCAGCCATCAATGTATTATCATCAACAGACTTATGAACAATCCACACTGAACTGTAGCTCTTGCAGACTGAATAGTTCCGGTTCACGTGCGAGATTCTCCATTGATCAGTAGCGAGCAATTTGGCGAACTCGGTTTCAGGCCTGAACAAAGTATGCCCGTCCTCTAAAAGAGGGTACATTGGCCGATAGAAGAATGGATAAGAGAGTTCAGCCCTGTCCAAGTTAGAGAGACGTTCAATTGAGGTGTATACATTGTGAAAATCGTAACTAGTCGGAATGTCCAGCTGTAACTGGCGAAAGTCTTTGCATTTGAGGACGATTGTGCCCCCGTTCTGACTAGAACCAGGCGGCTGTTTCTTTTCAATGGAATCTATTGCCTGGATCAACAGCTGCAAATATATACACCTTAAACTGTATACTGGGTATACTTACATTCTTTCAGTTACCCATAGCTCTTGTACGTTTTCCTTCCTAGTGGAAAGTATGAGATGATGGCCAGTAATGCATAAAGTGCCGTCGATTGGCTCATGAAATGGCGAATGCAAAATCACCCCATCCAGCTTGGGGGTTGTGATCAGTTCAGCAAATTCCATGATGGGTGGATAGTGGCTTGCGAAGAAAATCCATTGGAAATGGACACACTCTCCACAATTGAAAATCAAAATATTGGTTTCACTTTTAGGTTATAAACGAACGTCAAAACATGCCAACCAGTCAGACCAGATCGCAGACATTCTTGGTCTCATTTTATCCTTTAGTATCTGACAGAGACAGTCACATGACACCGACGTTTGTTCAAATGAGTTTTTTGGCGCAAAAATGGCTGGTTTCAAATAATTCATCTTAAAATGAAGCTTTTGAAAATTCACGTAACTTTAGTCTGGAAGATTCAGAATGAAAACAGCAGATTTTCATAATTAAAACAACTTTATTACAATATAATTTAGTACTAAAATTTACTGCAATTAACAAATACGACCCTAATTTAACACTGAATAAAAAAAATAGTCAAAATTAAGTCAGGTACTTTCATGCTGGGCGTTGATATTTAAATATTACACTGAACTGATGAGCTCCTAAGCTTTTGGCCAGCCATTCGTTCTTCAGAACGGCCATTCGAAGACTGTCGACCGTAAATTCCGTATTTAGATTAGTGTGGATGGATCTGCCCATTCCTTCTAAAATTATCAAGTCCGATTCAGCCATCAAATCACAGAGTTCTAAAACAAAACAAATAATATCAAATTAAATAATATAAGGTAATACAAATTTTACCTGAAGGTAAATTTTTAAGATCCAAACAGGGGCCTTTTTGGCCATTTTCCAGCGTTAACAACTGGCCATTGTTGATTGCATTTTTCAGAATATTGCATTGTTTCGCCGCACTCCGGCAATATCTATTCAGTTCCTTATAGGTAACATCGTTTAAGGAAGGGTAGGAATTGGCACTCAGGATCACTCTAGTGCCCCTAGTCAATAATTCTCTTACAAATGGTAAAATGCCGAGAATAAAGTCCATTCCCGCATTGTCGACAAAAATCACTGCACTATTAAAGTTGTGACTCTACAACACAATTCGTCAAAGTTTAAGATAAAAAAGAAAAAAGAAAACTATTGGAACAAAATGATGCTATCATCCTGAGATAAAGCTGCTATTTTATTACACAATTGAAGGAATGTGTGCTTCCTTATCAAGCAACGTGTTTGGTGGGAAATTTACGTCAATTTCCAGCAATAATATTTGGGGTTTTGCGTTCAAATGTGGCAAATACTTAATTTACATTTATTATATTTTCATAAAACTTCTTTGATCACTGCTCATATAGTTATCAGCGTAAATATATTTGCACTGTTGTTATCTGGATTCGCTGAACTGTATTTACACTGAAGCTTACATTTTTAGACAAATTAAACAAAAGTGAATAGTTCGATTATTTTGGGCGATTTTCATAACTACGTCTGCTTTCATACATTACTTCTTATCAGAGAAAGATTTATCGGAATAGCATAGAAAACACTTACATATAATCTTTGTATGAAGACATCAACATCATCAATGAACCATGGCCTGGCTTCAATAGTCTCCATTGCATGTGATAAGCCAAAAATTGAAGATGAGTCCAGAATATTGGCGACTGCAGCCGAGCCCCAATCGAACACATTCCCAGCCAGGAGTCCTTTGGCCAATTCCACCCATTTTTCATGAAAATCACTTATGGAATCAATTTCACTAATTCTGTGGCTAAACTGCGAAAGAGCCTGTTCCGACTCTGTGTCTTTTTGAGTCTGCCAGGCATCTTTAAAGTGCACCCTCAAATTTTCCTCATTGAACTCCAGCAGTGTTCTCACACTAAGTGGAACTAAAGTCCTACCAGTAATAGTTTCTGTTAATACAATGTAGCTTTGAAATATCCGAGTACTTACCTGGGCTCCAATTTTATTTTCTCTATCAAGTTGTGGAACTTCTGCAAACATTGCTTGGCATGTTCAGTGGCTTTCGGGTTGTCCGGGTTTAGGGATTGGGCCTTTTCAACAAAATTGCCAACAGTCCTTTCCAGAGTGGGTAGCCAATAGTTTCTAGCCAGCTCATTTCTCGCCAAATCCTGCAGATCCGGAGTATATTGCTCGGGGTTTTTCAGCAAAGGACAGACTCGGTTCGTCATAGTTTTTAGCACTCCAACAAGGGTCTCGACAGCAACAATAGTTTATCAACCAAGAACAATCAGCAATAACTGCTTTAAATTTCGATAAATCGCATCGTCGTATTATCTATCTTATTTACTCATTTACATAAGAATGAATTCTGTATCAGACAAAGTTTTTTTGTTTCAATGTAAATAGAGATTTAAGCTTATTTACATAGCTGACTTTGTGGAAATTAGGTTACAATCTTACAAGCTTTGTGTCACAGTACCACCGTTCACTCTGATAATTCGGACTTTTTATGTTGCAGATCTTTTGTAGCAATAAATACGTTTTTTAAAAAATCTAAAATATTTTGACAAATAATAAAATTGGCAATGTCAATTGTTGGTTAGGGATTCTGAAAAATAGTGCTTGCTGATCAGAGTTTCGGATTTTTATTTCAGTTACTATTCATTTGTTGCCTTCAATCACTTTTCAGTTCCCGATTTTTTTGGAGGGATGTGTTTATACTTACATATATTAGTTTTTTGCTGCAAAAACTTGGAAACTAAAGCTAATTACTTATACTGGAGAAAAGTCACCAATTTTCAATTGAATGGGTTTATTTAGTAACAGAGCTTCCCTCAAGTGAATCTTCACTTCCTTCATGGCTAAAGCTAACTAATTAAACAGGAAAAAACAGCCAGCAATTTTACATTGAATGGTTTTATTAGTAACGAGGCTTCACTCAAGTGAGTCATCACTTTCTTCATCCGTAAACCCGTCTTCATCGTCTGCAACCTTAAGGGTTTCGAGCTTGTTCAGCAGTTCCTCCTTACTGGGCGAGGCCTCATCATTTTTCTTATTCATAAATCTAACGAACGTTCTGCGCTTCCGCTCCGGCAAAGATTTCAGCAACGACTTCATTTCTTCATCCAGCTGTGCCTGTTCTGAGTCAGTCGCTGTCGGTGCAACTACATCTTTTTGATCCCCGCATTTGGCGCACACTCCTAAAAAAGCCATCAATCTCAACTAATTAGATTTTGTTTGAATCCGAAGTAGTGGCCGGAAAACATATAGGGTGAATGAAGTCGCTTGGAGTCCACTATAAATGTATTTAATATACAACGCGTTTCGGTTATTTATAATATATAACCATCATCAGATAACAAGACTTAAGTCTTCATTTGAGCATAAACTTAGTGTGTTGTAACCTCTGTAATGTGACCGATGTCCGGCTTTTTTCCACCTGTAATTCCGTTGACGCAGTTTTAGGTCTTGTTACCTGATGATGGTTATATATTATAAATAGCCGAAACGATATTCGTATATTAAATACATTTATAGTTTACTCCAAGCGACTCTTCATTAAACCAATATCAATTAATCAGAATACTTGCCTAAATTCTTCCTACAAGTATCGCATATAGTGTGATAAGCCTTGGAAATGGCCTTTTGGCCGCACTTGACGCAGGTCTTAAGCTGGCTCAGAGGCTTGTACTTCTTGTACTTGATTTTCCATTCGATTATATCTTTGCATCTCTGGCAAACGTTTCCCACTGAAATAGAGTTGATCGTTTTCGTTCTCTGGCTCGTGTCATGAAGATTATTTTTAAAGGCGGTTTTGTTCTTGTATTTCTGAGGTCTGGATCTTACGGTGTTTCCTTTCTGGCAACTCATCGCTGAAAGAATCTAAAAGCAACGTAATTATTTAAAAGTGTTTTAATTGAAGATTTTAATGAATTAAAGAACTCATAAATAAAGAAGTTTATTTTCATCTGTTCAGCCAGATAATAATCATTTTCTGGCGCCAATCCTGGCAATGTTCACTTGCAGCAGCTGCAACTCCATCTGTTTGTTGGCCTCGAATTCCCGGAGTAAAACAATTTCCAACTCCTTGTATTTCTTCAAAATCACCGCCAAAGCGTTTGCGTCCACCATCAGACTGATCATCGTTTGATCGTAAGCAATATCGCCAATGGCTTTGAGCAAGATCGCATACTCATTCAGTTCATTGTTGAGCTCGTCAGCTACTGCTCTGAACTGAAGGAGCTCATGCGAAGCTTCATCCCCAGTGATTTGGATCAGCTCTATTTGCTGGCTCAGTGAAGATCTGTATTCTTTGGAGACTGAAGTCACTAAGTCTTGCAGTTCGTTCATCAGCTGAACTATCGCTTGTTCGCCGTCTTCTATCGCCTGCCGAAGATCGTCTTCCAAGTTAATTTTTCCTTGAGGTATTATGGAACCGATAAGGCATATGTGGAGGTACTTGAATTTTCCACTGTTCCAATTTGGGGAAATTTTGCTTGCAAGACTGGAAAACCTCCTTACGAAGCCGGTGTTTGAACCCCTGTTCCGCAGGATTAACTGAGCCAATTTCCAGAATTTCCTCATTCTATTCATCTACTAATTACCAAAAACTATTAATTGCATATCCTGAATGTTCTGGATCGATCGAGTACTGTTCGTTCTACGTTCCTGTCGCCGTCTGCCTTCAACTCGCATAAATCAGACAAAGATCATGTTAGTGTGACTTATCGTACACGCTTTTAGAACATGTGCTTCTGGCTGCCTGGGTTATCAGAGGAAAACTGCCCACTATTGAGCGATCAACAGTAAATTGTCTGAAAATAATGTCGTTACGCAGGGTGTATCAAAAGCTACTGAAAGACCACTTTATGGTTGTGCAGTCTGCCCAAACTGGCCTTTTGATGGGCACAGGTGATATAATCGCCCAAACCATTATAGAAGGTAAAAGGGGAGCTACATACGAACCTAAGCGAACGGCCAAGTTTACTCTTCTAGGGACCGTCTTTGTGGTACGTGCTACTGCCCTGTTAGGACTTTTGTTTAGCGTAATAAAGCTTTCCTTGTGTTTACGTGTTTACAAAGCTTCTAGGTTAGGTGAATCGATTGACACTTCGAATCCGCAATCCACTACTTCCTGTTGATTGGTTCGGTTTTCGATGACGACACTGAAGCTATGTTGGTAAAATATTTTTTATTGTTTCAGGGGCCCACGTTAAGCTTGTGGTACAAAGTGCTGGCTCGAAAAATCGGCACTGAAATGTCCACAGCCGTCACTCTGAAAAAAGTCGCTCTAGACCAACTGGTTTTCGCACCGAGTTTCCTCATACTATTCCTAACTAATCTGAATTTAATCAATGGCCGTTCATTGAGTGAAGCCAAGGAGGATGTGTCTTCAAACTATCTCGATATTATGGTGGCGAATTACAAACTGTGGCCTGCAGTTCAGCTGTTTAATTTTTATTGCGTTCCTTTAAATTATCAGGTTTTACTTGCGCAAAGTGTTGCTGTGGTTTGGAACACTTACCTTTCATGGAAGACCAATCTTAAGTAAGGCTTAATTAATTACGGTAGCCTAAGTGTTTATTAATAGAAAGCAATACGTATATTAAAGCTTGTGTGTTGAAATTAATTAATTAAATAAATAAACACATTATTATTTACTGAATAAAAACAGGCTACTGTAAGCAGATAAATTTTTAAGACAATTTTCTGTACAATGTCAAATCCATGTCATTTGCTTGTAGCAGTGTATGATTTTTTGCTGAACAATTGTTCAAAGTTCCGTCCGACTAAGTTTCATAAAATCGCGACAATTTTCGAACCTTGTGTTCAAAACTGTTGATTTTCCAAATGAGGAAGTTTTCCTTTGCCATTTTGTGGTATTTTTCCGACCAACAACGGGGATTTAGCAGCAAACATGATTTTTTAAATTGGGAATTTCTGACGTCTGCTGTCATGTGGCAAGAAATATTGAGTCTGTAGTGAAATTAAGTTGTGTATTTTGAGTGTTTGGTGGAGTGCTCCTCAAGAGTTTCAGGACTATTTGGACAGCGAAGTGTATAATTAAGACAATGTGTCTACGGACTTGATCCATTAACCGTGTGGAACGTGGCATAAAAGAAGCAAAAGGGTTAAAAGTATAATTCTTGATTTAAAATAATTCTTTGGAAGCTTCAAGTGCGATTTAATTTAAAACGTATTTGTCTCGACAACTGAAAAATCGAAAATAGTGTTGATTAGTCTGCTCTGCTTTTTAGACAAAACTTTCCAAGCTTTCGAAAAATGTATGTTGTTTACTGCAGAAATTTCAAGTCAATAACGCCAGAACTAGAGCAGACTGTAACCCGGCAATGTTCAAAGTTTTAGAGCATTTTTATCAAGTTCAGCGCTTTAGCTGTAAGTCCATAACTCCGGGAAAACGCAGATAAGTTTAAGAAAAAAATTTCAATAAATCAAGTTTGGTTACTTTCTACACATAGATAAAAAAGAATTTAGACGCTGTCAATTTAAACATTCGTTCTCATTTGTTACTATACTTTTTCATTCACCAAAATGTCGTAGTTTTTGCACAAACATCAATAAACGGCATCAGAAAAATAGCAAAACCAGACAACCACCAACCCGTTCAACCTCTAAACCACATGATGTTGACAACCATTTTTCACCCTGCAAAATTAATAATTCACAAATTAGCCAGCAGATTATTCTTGCGCAAATCATTCTGCCAATTCCCTGATCCGCTGGTGCTTCCAGTTTGTTACAATGCGCCACAATATGGCAATAAAGTTGCCATTTATGACCAGACTGGAAGCTACAGTTTCCGGAACTTGTTCATTGAGGCTCAGATGTTGTCTTCAAAACTGTCTATTTTATTGGGTGGAAGCACTGGAGAAAGAGTGTTGTTTCTGTGCCCCAATGATGCCAGCTACGTGATTACCATATGGGCCATTTGGATGGCGGGGCAAATCGGTATGTAATAAATCCAGTTCCCCCACAAATGCATCCAGCTGGCTTTTTTCAGCTGTGCCTCTAAGCCCTTTACATCCAGAGCAATTGCTCGAGTATTACATCAAGGATGCCAATAGCAGGTTAATGGTTTCTTCTCTGGAGTTTGCCAAAACTCTCCATTCTCTATCCAGGAAATCTGGCATTCAACAGCATCTGCTAGAAGAAGATCTGCTGCTCAGAGCGAAGACTCACAAGTCCGTTGATCCCAATCCTGATCCCCTATCTAAAGAATTCTATCAAAGCAGTGACGCTTTAATTCTGTACACAAGCGGCACTACTGGCAATCCCAAAGGTTCACTCAAGTGTTTGTTGTTGGCAAATGTTTGAAAGTGAAAATTTCAGGAGTGGTTTTAACGCACAGGAATATCAATGTGCAGCTGAAAATGCACATTGAAGCATGGAAATGGTCAGCAAGCGATATGATTTTGCACACGTTGCCGCTTCATCACGTCCATGGGACACTTTATGCCCTATTTTGCCCTTTATTTGTTGGAGCCTCCATTATCATGCTCCCGAAGTTTAACGCCGCCCTCGCTTGGTCCTACCTGCTAAACAGAAAGCAGGAGGTTGAAGGCAAAGTTTCCGTTTTTATGGCTGTGCCCACCATATTCTCCAAACTCATCGAGGAGTTTGATTTGAATCTGTCTTCCAGCTCTGAGCTAGTGAAGGAGTTTCTGAGCAGCCACATGAGGCTTATGGTGAGTGGATCTGCTCCCTTACCAGAGCCAGTTTTTGAACGATGGTTGGCAATATCTGGATACAAGCTACTAGAGCGCTATGGGATGACTGAAATCGGGATGGCTTTAACAAACGATTACGACTCAGATCGAGAGCCTGGATTTGTAGGAATGCCTTTACCCTCAGTGTCCGTTGCCTTAGCTGATCCAGACACCAAGGAAATCGTCTTCAAATGTGCAAATCAATCTGGAAAGTTCCTTGTTGAAAACACAGCTCAAGATCAAGATCAAGATCCAACTGGAGAACTCCTCGTAAAAGGAGAGAGTGTTTTTCGGGAATACTTCAATAAACCGCAGGAAACTCTAAAGGAATTTACGGAGCAGGGCTGGTTCATTACGGGGGACATTGCTCAGTATTCTATAGAAAAGCGTAACTTTAAAATGCTAGGGAGAAAGAGCGCGGATATTATTAAATCAGGCGGCTATAAAATCAGTGCCTTGCAAATCGAAACCCTACTTCTGGCCCATCCGGGTATAAAAGAGTGTACGGTTCTTGGTGTTCCAGATCAAACTTATGGGGAACGAGTAGCTGCTGTGCTAGTTTTCAATAAAGAACCTCCTGAGAGTTTAGCAGCCTTAAAGGAGTGGTGCGGAGGAAAAATGCCAAAGTATTGGGTGCCAACGGTGTGGAAAGTAGTGGAGAATATTCCCAAAAACGCCCTAGGGAAAGTTAATAAAAGAGAACTGCGGAATCAGTTGTTTAATAAAAGTCTTGAAAGTTAGGAGCTTCTTGTGGCTGTCGAACTGGATATATACACGGTTGATGGCATCTAGATTAGTACAGAACGCGATGAACAAAATTTCTGGAAATTTGTGCAACGAAATAATTGGATATGATACTAAAATATTTTTATCAACGCGTTGTTGCCGCGTGTATTGAAAAGTACATCCAACGTTGATATTTTAAATGAGACACCCTGTATACAGTACCCTGTATATGAACGAATATTTTTTTCTATTTAGTACGATAAAAAGTCAATAAGAAAAGTCCATAAGAAAAATCAAAGTGGACTGTTATTTTGCAATACTAAACACCAATAAAAAAAATCTGACACTACCATGAAAAGGGCATTTATTAAAAATGTAAGTAGCCCAAGTTTCATCAAAATCGGATTAATAGTTTTTTTCCTGAGAATATTTTTTAAAAATATACACGTTTTCAGTTTTTTCAGGATATTTCGCAAACCGTGACATCTAGGTTTAATTTCAGTATGGCTTTAAAATAACCATTAAACTGCTCAACTTTTTCGCCATTTAATCAACTCTGTTGATGTATGTATCTCGTTGCGTTTAGGAGATCCCAATGTAAGAGTGACCACCCCGTATAAGCCCGGAGTTCGGTTGGAAATTTGGCTCTGTTTATTTCTATTTACCGCTTGACGCTTAAGTTACTTGAATAGTGAGTATTTCGATTAACTTTTTGATTTGTTAAAAGTGTTTTTTTACCTTTTTTATCCATTCTACCAAAATTGGTATAGTAGTTATTTTCTCAAAATGCTACACATTTTCTTTCTAATTTGCTTGTTTTCGAAAGATAGAAAATTCTGAATCAAAAAGCACATTAAGAAAAAAATCAAAAGCACATTCAAAAAAATTTGAACTTTCAAAAAAATACCCGAATCATGATTCTAAATGACTCCAAATCTAAACTTGGTCCACATATGGAACCTAATTTGTCCTACACAACGCACTCAAAAGTAAATCTACAGCTTCAGTGGTCTCTGAGAAAATAAATGCCAAACTTTAATCCGATCGATCATCATTAATCCGAAAGTTGAAATCATCATTAATCCGAAAATTATCCCACATCCCCGCATTTATTGCCGTTAAAATCTGAGAATTAAAGGCAGTCAGTGGTTGTTGCAACGTCGCGCTCAACGCCTCACGTCGGCCGGTGATTTCCTGCGTGTGATAAAACTGACTGCGCCATCTCTTTTGAACGTAGTAAACTTGGGGGACAAGTAGGAGACAAATTAAATTAAACAAATTGATGCTCATATTTTCTTGTTTATTTCTATTGATAGTAATAGTAATAACCATAATTCTGTTCTGTACAACTTTTTAATAATATAGTACAATTAACTGTTATAACTCTTATATGCTCTGAATACGGAAAAAATTATTGTTTCTTCGATCGTTGACTTTCATTTCTTACTCTTAAAGGAAAAGTAGAGAATTGAGGCATTCAAAGGACAGTGCACACTTATTTCAATATATTTTACTTAAACAGTAAGGAATTAGACTAGAGAAAAGAAAACAGTAACTTGATGGGTCAACACGTAGCAAATCATTGTCGCACTACATTTTCTGTTTTGCCTACTAGTGGGAATTCTAAAATAATTCAACAACAAACAGAGAGAAAGGAAGAACAGTACAATTGTTGGACAATTTGTGGTTTCTTGCGAATTATTGCTGTAAAATTATATCTGGCGTTGGAAATAAGCCCGCGGGATTCTCTGGATGAAAGCTCGCTTTCCGAAATTCATCAGCAGCTGTCGGTTGCGATTCGCACCTTCCTTGGCCTTTTTTCTGGCAATTTCCAACAGCAGTCTATTCCGTAAAACGTCCAGAGAATTCACGATGGACAGTGAACCGCCAGCGTTTCGGCCAATTCTGGACTGTCTTTTAGTTCTCAAGTTTAAATCTTCCTCAGCAGTTGGCCCCTGTAATAACAGATCAGGGTTTTATTATGAGAAAGTAGAGCAACAAGTGAATTAAAATGAAAAACCTACATTTAAGCTGTGTCTAGACATTTATTTTATACTGCACAGGTCACCCATCGAATAACAAAATCCATATAAACACATTGGCCTAAATAACATGTAAACTGCTCAACTACAATAAATAATGTCTAAATTACGCTTCGCATTCGGAATACTGAGTTAAGATACTGCTGGATCAGGAGCGCGCGTTTCGGAAGAATAATGACTAGATTTCCAAACATTTAGATACATGATACATCTTAATAATACTATACTTTTATCACTGGCATGGAACTAACAATATAATTTACTAACTATTACAGTCGACTACAAATGCAACCGCATCCAATGGCTTCGAGACCCGGTTATTTGGATTAATTGATTTAAAGGGGAACTAAATGGTTTAGGAAGAGTTTAGCTGATTGATGAGTCGTCGATTTTGCGAGATTCTTTGCTGGTAATTGCTGCGATCGTACATGTTTCGAAGGGCTTGAATCGGCGCTTGTACGGACAGAGTGGGTGAGTAGTTGTTGTATCGTTTGTTTCTTATTCGTCTCGGTTGTTCCGGGGTCTGAAAACAGAAAATAGATTTGCGTTTGCTGATTGAATGGCCAAGGTGCGATCAAAGTTGTGAGTTAAGTTGCATGCAAGTGTTGAACGAAATATTAAAGCGAATGGAAAGTCTTTGGCCTCCGTAGGGCTTTATTCCACACAAAACACTAAACTTCCCAAAAAAGAGTGTTTGGAAATGCATAATCTACAGCGTGAGCTACTTGGTTTTTTGCAAAAACGGTGTGTAACTAAAATAGAAAATGACTTAAACTGTTACAAAATAACACATTACTTAAAGGTTTGCTTGTATTTTATTAGTCTACTGGTGTAGGTGTTTCATGCCATGCTAACAATCGAGGTTCTACAGGAAAAATCGAATTTCTAAATACACAACGAGAACTAAAGACAACTCACTTACTGGTTAGCGATGGTTAGGTACCAAGTGAAGAAACCGCGAACCCCGAATTTGCTTAAATAAATCACACACTCGAAGTCACAAAGTTTGCGGCACTTCACAGCATACATCAATAAACTAATAAAATGTCTTTTGTTGGTTTTGAAATACTTGTGATTTATCAGACCGATAAAGGAAGCGACTTTTCTAATTGATTAGCTTTAAAGTTTTTCGTAAAGTCATCACTTACTTGGTTTTCGATGTCGTTCGATTCCATTTCGGTCAAAACGTAGAATTTGGGGTCGGAAACCCCCCTCCAGTCGCTGTTCAATCTGTACTTGGCAGCTAACTTGGGTAGAAGGTAGTTTATCGTTTCTGGATCGGCAGCCACGTTCACTGATTCCAAGCCCATATAGTTCTCGTTGGGTTCGCTGCGCACTGCGACAACTAATGCTGCGCAGACTAGGTAAATGGGTGCGCGCATCTTTTGGGCCTGAAACAAGCTACTCAGTTGAGAAATATTAAAACCTATGAAGTTTTTGAGCGAAACTGAAGTTATTTATTTTCGCCAAGTGCAAACTCACAATTCATTTCCATGCTAATTTAATAAAGCATGTTTGTCTACCGTCTAGCTCAACTTTCCTTTATATTATTCATTAGGTGTTTTCGTAAGCAGCCCCAATTACCGTGCAGAGGCCATTTCATTTCAACGTTCCTTGAAAATTTACTAGATGGCAGCTCTTTGCTCTTGGCAATTCCATTAAGTCTTATTCAACATAATACAATTTAGCGCAACATTTTTCGCTTGATTAAGTCCATTCATTTCTTCCATCGCTTTTCAGCCGTTCCTCTCAACAAATTACGAAATATTTTACCAGCCAAACTGAATTATAATGGAAATATTTGTTTTTGGGGTATTTGATTAGTATCGAAGTCAAGTACCATGAATCAAAATGTGTCGTTTCCATCAAATTTTTGAATTAGTGGAAGAGAATTAGGTTGCGTGGAAAATAAAAAACAGTTTTCGTAAGCTTGGAATTGGAACTACGTCCGCTCTTGACTACAGTCTTGCCTCGCTTTAATAAAAGCGTCAACATATCAAAGTAGGTCCTGGATAGATTCATATGTCTATAACGTCATTAGCAAAGTAAACCAACAGCTGTCAAGCGTCGCAACTGAGTTCCGCGAGCAGTTGTCAATATAACAACCGCTTCATGTAAGTTTTCAGACACTTGTCATGTGTTTATTGACGTTTTGTGGTCATTTGCCAATGTCACAAAGTCAATGCCTACTGTGATCTATTCAGCCTTACTCAGTTATAATTTTAGTGAAGGTTTTTTCCACTTGAAAACATTTATAGCCGATATATTGCTTAAAATATCGACGAGGTCAGCAATGGTCAGTCGGGTTTCGATTGCGCGGAACTTAAAAAAGAATAATAAAAACAAGTGCCAGTCTCCGATGATTTGGACTATTTTATAATTAACTTTTTTAGATAAAGTCTACTAATTAGCGAATCTGAAATAAATCCAGCTTGGAAAGTTTTCTTTATCGGGGTACTATTTCCGTAATAACCGGTTTTTTTCAATACATCTCATTGAACTCGCGTTCCACATTGATTGCGTATTAATCCCACTTATCCATAATATTTGGTTTTTGCTGAAGACAAAAAATGTGTTTGTTAAAGTCGATGGCATCTCATGTTGTGTAGACTTAAAATTTGAATTTACGATTAAAACGTGCCATCATTGTTTCCATGAGGCGGGCTGACAATATTTTGTATCTTTATCGTGTGGGCATCAAAGCTTTAGCGAATCAGTGGAGCAAAGAAGACACGAACGACACAAAAGAGAAGTAATTCTCCTGGAAAATGACGACCGGTAGCAAGAGGACATTTTACAAGTTGAAACTACCTGGAAAACCGTCAAGTTTCCAACGAAAAATTGGTGTTTTCCACATTGCGGTTTAAGCCGCAAAGTCATAGATTTGATCAGAAAATCAAACAGTTAGTGAACGTTATTTCTTTAGATAAACTAAACCCGATATTTTAACGGCATGCTATATTCGAAGCAATGTTGTGAACAATTTTAGATTTTCGGGTTATTAGGGCGTCGTCGTTAAAGCGCCCCTGAAGATACTAGACATGCGGGCTAGCGAAACGTCAGTATCAAATTTCTATCGACGACCTGCTAATACCTGAAAATTATCAATTTTTGATGGTTTCAACAGAATTTTAGTTGGAAATTTGAATAGACTGTTGCTAACTAAATATTTAGTTTAGCTTTTTATAATTAAAATTGAGCGACAAAATACTCAAAGAATTTAAGCCGCGAGGGGAGCAATTTGAAGGTAGCAACGCATAGACCGCATTGACTGGTATGTGTGCGAGTGAGATAACCGATGCCGACTACGTTCT